TGGCCTAATTTCTGAGAATGTGATTTCTTTTTACTATACTATTTATTGGAATAATTAAATTTAATTAATGAATAAATTAGTAACAGACAAAAATATAATAGCCCGACACCATATATAGAAAGAAAAATGGAAAATTGTAAGGAAAAAATCGTTTTCTATTTTGCCAATTAATATTGTGATTCTGTCATATGTATATGCATAATTTTATTTATTGTAATTATTTAATAAAAAGTAACAAAAATAAAATGTTTCTTTGTTGACCTAAGTAGGAATTGACTTGATTTTTTTTTATATTACTTGTGTGTATTTCTATTTCTAATGGGCTGCGGATACTTGAGTTTTAATGCAGTCTCTAAATAAAGTGTACCGATATTGAAACCAAATTCGGATTGATGATATTTCTGGTGGTCAGATATATATCCTTTTTAATAGGAAATAAAGTGCATTATTATGAACTGGAGTTTGATACTATATTCACGAATTCAAAATGGTATGATGATGGGAGCCTTATATATAAATCACTTTAAAGCAGGGTGCTAACCTTTATGGATCAACTTGTCATTTTTTTCTAAAAAAAGTGTTTATTGAGGTATAGACGTGCCGTCAAATAATTTTTACTTGTGATTATTGGGAAAATAATAAAACTAAATACTAACAGCACAAAACTTTATTTACTACAAAAAAATACCTTTTGCACTGAATAATAGTAAATGTTTTAGTTATACGCGTAATTCAAATTAAAGTAACATTTGCGTGACTTCTGATGCAAAACATTAGATGACAAATAACTTACATTAGGATTGTAAGAAGTTACTTTTAGTAGAATGCATGCTGAATTGGAATCCACCAAATAGCTTCTAGGTAATTAATTGTTTTTGCTGTCGTTCTCTTTATTAACAAGAGTATTTGTGATTTGTTTCAAAATGCTGTTTTACAGACGATGTTCTGCATATCACTATTCCAGAACATAAAACACGCACCGTTTTGTCGCCTTTACTTATAAAGCCATATTTCTAGATTCACCAAATTCGAAATTCTCTGTTACACTTACTATCTTGCACTTTTTGATCTTTTGCTGAACTAGCCATGCTTAATAACAGCTAAATATCGTAAATATAATACAAGTAAATTTTAAAATACAGTTGTGTCAATGAAATTGACTATGCTATGCGTAGAAAATTTTTGTATCATATGCAATTGTAGTCCACGACGTAACTAAGGAAAGACAATAACAAACGAGAGTGCTCCCCGCCATCCACGACCGTTCTCTCGCGTTTGTTCATAATACTTCAAAGATAACTTTGTTATTTTGAAATAAAATGCAAACCATTTTGATCACTGGCGTGCCCAAAATATTGTGTCGCGTGCCATCAACTGCCCGCGTGCCACTGGTTCGCCATCCCTGTTTTAAAGCTTCCCGAACAATATTGGCAATCTTAATTCTGAACCTAGGTTACATGACGAGAAAGACACAAGATTACTTATTTTCACATCACGCCATGTTAAAATTTTACGCTCCAGTTAAATATACAGTCAACTCTTGCTAATTCAAACATTCGATAGGAACCTTTCGCTAATTCGAAGTATATGCTCAGCCCCTTGAAAAACTCTCGAACTAAAACAATACGTTTTGGTACACTCGATATTTCGAAGTAAAATATGCGGCTGTTAAGACTACAACACGCGATAATTCGAATATTCACTATCATGTAGAATTCTGTAACAAACAGGATGGAGCTTATATATTTTGTTTTGCATTGTCTCTTGTGTGTCTCCACTGTAACGTAGCCCCTTCGATGACCATCTGTCTGTCATCCTTTCTTTGTGCTTCCCGGATCCTCAAGCAAAAAGACACTTTTATTGCCCTCCATCGTCAAAGGGACAACAAACTGGCCTCACTTGTTGTCAGCCCTTCATATCTTTCGCTTAACACGTGGCCTTGCTACACATGTGTTCAGAAAGGATGATCCAATATTGTGAAGAAGAGATGTGTAGGATTGTGTATTTTGCGTCGAAATGACATGACGATTTATGACTTATCTGTGTAACTTATGACGTGTGACACCAAATAGGGCCTAGGCCGGACTGGACCCTGCCTTGAAGAACCAATGGTGTTGGGGACAGTGTCTGAGGGAACCGATAACAGATTAAACAGATTTTTTCGTCAAAAAAAGATTACTTATGTACAGTATGTTTTCTTTTAATTGTTGTTTTTAATACTTAAATATATTCTTTTAATACAAGACTTTTAACTTCTGTATAATATTTATACTGTATAATTGTACTTTTTGAAGGGGACAGCAAACCGGCCTCACTTGTTGCCAGCCCTTCATATCTTTCGCTTAACACGTGGCCTTGCTACACATGTGTTCAGAAAGGATGATCCACTATTGTGAAGAAGAGATGCGTAGAATTGTGCAGTTTGCGTTGAAATGACATGACGATTTATGACTCATCTGTGTAACTTATGACGCGTGGCACCAAATAGGACCTAGACCGGACTTGAAGAACCAATGGTGTTGGGGACAGTGACTGAGGGAACCGATAATAGATTAAACAGATTTTTTCGTCAAAAAAAATTGTGTACAGTATGTTTTCTTTTAATTGTTGTTTTTAATACATAAATGTATTCTTATAATACAGGACTTTAAACTTCTGTATAATATTTATACTGTATAATACACATACTTTTTAAAAATATTTTAAAATAATTTTATACATATGTACAATGTTGTTTTATTACATAATTTCAAATTTAAATGTGTTCGAAAAAATTTTCTCTTCGTGTATTTTGGAAGTTATTTTCCTACCCTCTTGATAATTCGAAGTTTTTCATTGGTCCCTCCAACTTCGAATTATTGAGAGTCGACTGTAGTAGATTTATTATTCCACAGTCCCTGTTAAAAATAAATCCATATCGGATATCACTGTCCATGAGTGTATGAACGTTTATTATCGTCGCAATGTAAGGCAACACGAGGACTATTGGCACCAAACCTCATAACTTTGAAACCATGGTCAAGGGACGAAGACAATTTTTAGCTTGCACCCCTCTCTCTCTAAACTTCCAAACCCCACCAAAGTGAAGACTCGCAGCCTCGACAGATTTACAGCGCACCCAGTCCTCTACCCGGCGGGTCTTCAATGGCACTGGGGCTCGAGCTCATGACACGCCAGTCACGAATGAAGTTTGCATCGTAAATCACTAAGCTATTTCGCTTTTGACGCGTTAAGAGAAATTTTATGAATTACAATGAAGTTAATAAAAAAAACATCAAAAAAGAATTAAAATGTAATGATTTCCCTCCATTTTTTAAAATAATTTTTAAAAGGATATTTTTTATGATAAAGACGTTTTATATTCTTCACTTCCTCATTAAAGTTAGAAATAATAACGTTATAAAAGAGCGTTAATAAATGTGCAATGTTCTTTAGGCAAAAAGGAACTGTGATTGAGAGTGTCTTTCCGTATATACTGTATAATTATCTAGATAATTATTGCCTCTGTATTCATGTTACTTAATCAGAAAAAATGTTGATATTGTGATGAAATAAACTTCCAGACACAGGGCTGTTGCCAGTTGATCCAACTGTTTTAAACCAATCGACACTATTGTTGATGAAACCAAAACCGTACATTTTCCAACCGAGTTTTTGAATTCTCTAGATGTATCAGGAATGTCACCACATAATCTTCGGTTGGTTCCCTGGTTATTATCTGCGTAACTTAAATTCATCTAGATAATGCAAAGGTGCACGTTTGATCATCTAAAGAATTATAACGGGAACTTCTTGAAACAAACATTTTGACTGTAAAGTTTAAACGAAAATTCGGTTCTGCTACTGCGGAATCTGTTGCCACGTATTCCAATGATACCATCAGAATCTCTAATACCATTCAAAAGGCTTCAATTCCCGATTCGTTTGGCTTTCACGATGACCATAAATGAATCTGAAACCGAACAATATTCATTTGATACTTAGAAAATCCATGTTTCTCGAATGGGCAACTAGATGTTACATGCTCACGTGTGCGGAAAGCGTTAAATCTATTTGAGTTAGCAAAATACGGGTTACCGAAAAATATTGTGCACCGATTAGCGATTAGTTGTATAAAATTATTATTTGTTATACTTTAAAATGATAAAAATAATTTTAAAAATTGCAAAGAATCAACGTTATTCACCACATTTATAAAATTAAATCTTTATATGTTGTTACTTAACGACTTCGTTCGTAATTCATGCATTATATTACACTCAAATAGGAGATGAATGAAATGCAAAATTAAAATAATTTGTTGTTTTATACTTTATTTCAACCCTCCAAAATTATAAACGAAGATTAATTTCACTGCACTGAATAGCTTAGAATATAATATTGAACTAACGTATTAAAACAAAGCCATAGCAACGCGCGGCCGGGTCCAGCTAGTAATTAGATATATCCATGTCATTATTTACTTCATTTAAGAAAGTCATTTTCCGACGCTTCTTCAATAAATCCTACAAATAGGAAGATAAATGTCTAGTGATATATAAATTAAACATTTGTCTCTGTGATTTCCTCAAACTTCTCATAAAAGTAAACTAAAACAATTATCTTTAAAAAATGGAATAGAAATACAAATATTTTTAAGAAATTTTTTCCGAATGTTATTTTTGCTATCCCTATTTGACCTATACGCTTAGTGAATTGTGTAAATAGTAAAGTATGCAAATATTACCCCAAATAATAACTGACTTAAAGATTTATGCTCATATTTATTAAAAAATGTGAGCATTTTGGTTTTTTAGGTTAAAACAAAATACCTTTTTACTACCAAAAATTCAAGAACAAAAATGTTTCTTCTACAAGTATTTTACGATAAATATTGATTAAACATATAATTTATCTACTTATTATTGTGTTATCATTTTTATTATTAATGTAATTATGCTTTTATTATTAAATTATTATTTTTATTTATTTTACAAAATAAATTATATTCAAGCTGAATA